GATATCGTCCAAGCAACGAGGCGACGAGAGAAAGAGTTCGCATAGATAGCGATTACAACAACGAAACAAAATTATAAAAGAAACGATAACAAAATTATAAAAAATAAAATATTGATTTTTTTGCAAATTTCTCGATTTCAGCCAAACTCGTACAAGTCCAATATCATTATAATAAGTTAGTTAGTTCCAAAAGCATACTAAATAATACGAGGGTCTGTAAATGCCCGTTTCTGCCGAAAAGTGGCGCTGAGTAGCCAGCGTCCAGAATGGTTCGAAGTGCTAAGGGTTAACAGTCGAAGTACAGAACGAGTAGCCCGGAGCGTAAGTACGCGGTCGCCTCGCGCGATGACGTTACTCAAAATCATTACGCAACCAGCCCACTTTCGAGTTTTTTCCTCTGGCCTGGCCACGAGATATCTCCGCGAGCCAAGGAGGTTTCCAGGTCATGCGCGAGAGGAGAGACCGCGGCGTGTTTCCTCCAGTTTTCTGGTTGATCCTGGTGGCGCGTACGCGTCATTCGCTATTATGCATTTTCTCGCATGGTCCCTTGATCGGGGACACCGCTGCATCGATCGATGCGGTCCCCGTTCGATGGGGACTGGTCGTGATTTCGAAATTGCTCTTCCCGTTGTCGCGAATTACGCAAACGCTACTATTAACGCTATGCTGTCCGCAGATCTTAGATATGATTCTTTGGTTCGACGCCGGCATAATAGCTTGGACATTTTAGATTTAAACAAAAAATTCCGAAGATGGCAATGGTAATATAAATTCCTAAAATTAAGATATGTCGTCCAAGAATGTTCGTACTTAATTCTTGGTTGAACAAGCACAATGCTATAGTTAGTTCGCTGCCTTCTAACACCCAAGAAATATAGTTCAAATGTTATTCCAATTTTTTAAAAATAGCACCAAAATGGTACCAGCAACAGATAGCTGTTGCATGGCACCAGCGTGATGCCACCGGACGGCATAGCGTTAACTTGTTATCGTAAAGCATCTCGAGCCGCATAGGGGAGCACGCGATCTCGTTAAAATCCATCGTTCTTCGAAGGTTTCCGAGCCGCGGGTTTCAAGGTCGGTCGCCAAGATTCGCCCGGATCGGCGGCGAGCCGACATTTGAGGATCGAAGCGAGACGATCTCGAACGCGTGTCGTCGTTTTCAAAAATCCTGGCAGTCGAAAGGAGGCTGCAAGTCGCGATCGCGCGAGCTCCGTCTTTCACGAAAGTGAAAGCTGCGTTCTGCGCTTATGCTCTGTGCGCTATTCGCTGGTCACTATACACCTGTATGATCTACGGTTAGCATCTACCACGAAAGCTGCGTCTAGCCGTTTACAGTAATGTCTCTCTAATCGACGCCCAGATGGCGTCGATATAGATTGCGATATAAATCTTTGCCAAAGAGAATGACAGCTGTTATTAAATGTAAAGGATGAACCTCAAAATATTAGGCATTAAATGTCATTCATTGGTTCATTGCTATGGATAATTTTTAATGAAATGTTCTATCATTTTGTCCCATTGCATTTCCATAAGAATTCTTTTTTCCCATTTGTGTATGTTTACAGTAGTATAGTAAATTCTCCCCACCAATTGTCCTTCAACTTTGCACACAAAAATGGACAATTTGGGAAGAGGAGATACGATTATTCGAGTCTTGCGGTTTATTTTTATGGTTATAAATTATCCACAATTTTAAAAACGAGCCGCAAGGCTCGAATAATCGTATCTCCTCCGCTTTCCAAATTATCCAATTTAGTGGACAATCCGAGCGTCGGTAAGGGAGACATTACAAATTCTCCCCAATTGTCCCTTAGACA